CACTTTATACTTCCAGCTCACTTCATATAATCGAGTTGTATTCTATTTCGTGCTCCCCTCCATGTTCATCGAAGCACATCAGCCAAACAATCCGAACTCATTTTTTTCGTTTGATCGATTCAATGGTAAAATATGCTCGCAAATTCATTGCTGCGTAAACTTTCACTGTGAATACTCAAAAAATTGTATGAGAAGCATCTGAAAGAGAAACAAAAAAAANAAAAAAAACATCACATTGATTTGCTGAATTCAGTCGAAATTCTCTACTTGTACTTTTTTTAAAGTGCTCACATGTTATTTATAAATGTGTGGATTCTGTTCTGAACTGTTTTCATGATTTTTTCGATGGATGCACATATAATTTTTTGATGGATGTGCACATAATTTTTTGATGGATGCGCACATAATCAAAAAAATGTTATCAATTGTCCACAAAAATAGAAGCAATTTCTTCACAACGTACCATTTTTTTCGTCACCGAACTATCAATTCCGTTGTTTCTATCAGCGCTCCATCTATTGTTGACTACATCGTAATTTGAGGAGTTGACATTACCAAATCATATTATTCAAGCGATGGTGATTTATGCTTGCATTTTGCTCTTATTGACATTACGGAGTAGGTGTCAGTAGAAGCAATTGTCTATGTTCGGCATTCTACTCGAAAACGTATATGAAACTCCATTTTGCTGTGTAAAATGTATCGAACCATTCTTGCATTTGAAGTAGTATTTTTTCGCAATCGCTAGGAGCAACTTATGATTATTATATCACGGAATAGCCTTTGAAATAAATCTCGTGTAAATTATTATAGTTTGGCAAATTCCTGGAGGTTTATTTGCGTTTACGTCAAAGTGGTCGCCTCTCAAAATCACCTTAAAAACAATTGGAAATTTTTCGAATCGGCTTCACATCAATCCTTTTCCGTCAGTGTGAAAATGGCAGCAATTTCCATGGATTTTGAACATGCGGAACGAAGATGAATTTGCCCTTTTCAGTTTTGTCGAGAGATGATCACAGCTTCATGACGCTTCATCTTTCATGTATCGACGAAAACTAACTCGAGATTGGTCGAAAACTGTCATTTGCGTAGAATGTAGCGATTTGCGCAGTGCAAATCAATGTTAATGCTAGATGCGATGCTCTTCGCTTTTAAGAATTAAATCTTGAATCATGCTCTAACAGACCATTGAAGTGGTCGAATCAACGAATCTTAGTATCTCATCCTTTCTTTTTTGGATCTTCTTTTCTTCCAAGCAGCATCCCCATAGAATTTTTCTCTCTCTATAAACTAATGTTTCTAAAATTACGATAACATCGTTTGAGTTTCAAACTGGGCCCATTACGTCTGTCTGGCAACGGCCACAAAATTCCAATTCGTTTCCAAAATTACTTCGACGAATTTTATGAGTAAATGAAAACCTTGTTTATACCAGTAACCAATGATGAATTCAAACTGTGATTTGTGCTTGTTCAAATTATCAAAAGGAAGGAATTAATCCATTGGATTGTTTCAGTCTGTTCTGCCTGGAAAAGAGTGACAACTGAGGTTTTTGGTGAAAAACAGGGAACCATGGGTAGGAACATTCGAAAAAATGGAGTAATGAAATATCCTGTTTGATGGATTCACAATTAAATCGAAATGCCCATGGGAGAGAGGCACGATAAAGTATTGTCGACAAGCACAGATCTTGGACAGATCAAATTAATCGTCTTCTTTGTTGATTTGATCTAATGATACGATTACTCACAACCAGCATATCAGCGCGTTCATAAGATGTGAAATATTAGCTGAAAAAGAAGTTAAGCGTGCATGGTATTGATTAATTCAATCAAGTTAGCAATGAGCCTGAGAAGTGGAAACATTTGCATGAAACGCTTGTGCACTTGCAGTGCTCGTATAGCATGTTCTTGTGATTAGTGCGATTAGTTGCTATCGAGAGCGCTACATTTGCACTTTGATTTCGGATCGAATTCGGTTCAATTAAACAGCGAACACAATTTGTTTAGCTCAGTGGAATGCATTTCATACATGCAACAAACAATTGAGCTTGATGACCGATTCGGACTTCACTTGGCTCGCTTTAGAGAAAAAATTCCGTCCGATTTTGAAGATGTTCTAAGTTTTCTTACACGTTGTCTTCGAGCAGCTTCGAAACTTTGTCCGAGAGAAAGTGACGCTTGCCATGTTGTGCAGTCAGTCGTTCGTTCAGGCACTGTTTCAACCTTTTGAAATTAGTGCACGATTCCAAGTGCTTTTTCGAGTGACCGTAATAATTGCGTGACAATTTGAGAGTCATCTGTATGACAAGCTCAACTCATTTAATCTAATTCCTTTCCATTTCCTGCCGCGAATAGTTTTTCTAATTTATAGCTATCCATTACGTTTGACATATGCAATGGTCGTCGTTTGTTTGTATGTGCTTATATTCATTTTGTCTTTCGTTTCACGCACATATTTCGATGTTTGCACGATTAATCCCTGAGTTTCTCATTTGATAATGATGCTGTTTATCTCATTCGCGGACCATAATGGATCACGTCTCGATAATGAGCTTGTTTACTGAAACTCGTAATTTATGTTGCATATTGATCAGAGTTCAAATTTCTCAACTGCCAATTAATGCTCACAGCAGATCATATTACAGTCGATGGTGACAAACAAGTATTTGAGAATATTCACTTTCAAAAATGCCCACGATTTTCGAGCAATATCGCAACGTTTACCTGGAACTCACCCAACCAAAATATTCAGTTGGTCTGATGCATCATTGTTTTCGTATAACACGTTTAGTTTAATGCTGATGGTTACGATTTTACCCGGAGATCCTGGAGAGCAGCAGACGGGAGAATAGTAGACGCTTCTCGGGTTCTAATTAGTGCTTGCAAAATCCAGATCATCTCTCAATCTCGGGACGGAAATTAGATCCCAGGATATTCCGCGAATCATAAACGAAAAACAAGGAAACGGTGAAGACGAGAAACCGAGTGGGACTGATGACATCACGAAAATTTTGCTTACTGCCTTCTGGAAAAAGAAGTTTGAGGTGGCGTTAATATGTAATTATTTATGAACAAACTGGGAATGGTTGATAAGCAATCAAAGATGATCATATTACCAATACGTAGAAAAATTTCGTGAAATCCCAAAATCCCAGGATTTTTCGGAACATAGTTCCCGAGACGGGAATCATGATTTAGATATGTGCGTGCCATAGATGACTGATTTATAAGAGAATTGTGATGCATGTAATTCGACTGACTGATTTATATCAGAGTGTGTTCCAGTTAAACTCTTCCTCAATAATCTCATGATGGTGCGCAAAATTCTCATAAACGCAATAAATTGCGTTGGAATGGAGTAGTTTTAAATTTATTGCCTTGGCGAGCGCTGCCTACTCGTCGTATAATTTTGATGCATCATTGCTTCTTTCACTGATGTCCAATGCCCCATCAGCCACCATCATCATCATCTCTTGAATCTCACATTTTTGCATACATATTCCACCATTCTTTTAACTGGAGTACCGAACGATCCGCACTAAAATAGTTTTCCGCTGAAAATACTACAGTCTCTTATTACAAAGGAACTTTCAATGTTCACTTATAGTTAGCTGGTCATTGTGATTTTGAACTCATCATGCTATTCTCCACAATTTTGCATGTGCTTTGCCATTCACATCATCAGTATTCACGAAAGTTGTTGGCAATCATAGTCGACTATGGTGATTGACGTGAGAAGAATGGAAAGCGAGAATTTGATTCATGAAAAACATCTTCAAATAATCAACGGGGATGGTCGAATGCTTTGAGCATTGTTCTGCCGTCGAATTCTAACTTAACAACTTCCTCTTCATGAAACTTGTTGAACAGATTTGTTCACATCATGTGCATTGTTTTATAGCTGAGTAAATTTTTTCAGAGTGTACTCACTTGAATTGAATTGTTCGCATTTAGAACGAAGCACGACAACGAATGGAAATCGTGAAATCACTTGTGAGCGCTGCGGATTTGTTCATGATATGAAACGGTATCAGATTTTCTCCAACTGATATTTGATTTTTAAGATATTAATTATCTCAACGATTCCATTTCAGAGGTTGCGAACTTTTATCGCATAATTGTGCTTTTTCAAAAAATTGGCAAATTTTCATTGATTCGTTGCTCAAAATAGACCAGGGCAGTAAAGAAATTTGATATTTCTGTAAGCTTCGAAGGTAGATGAAGTTGAGCGATTTCGAATAGCTGCTGATAAAGATGGCAGGTATCTTCAACTAAACATAAAACATAACCTGAAATTGTTCGATCCAAACTTTCTTGTCCATAAACATCAAAAAGGGCATACATGATTCAGAATAGGATTTTATCACACCAAATGGAATGACATGAAATAGAAAATAGGGAAAAATTTGGTTTCCAATAGTGTCGAACATTCAAACCCGTATTCCATGTTTGTTCAGAAGGAAATTTATGTGGATGAATTGGAAAATGATTCATCGATTAACAAAAACGATAATTCCATGTGAGCGTTCACCACTTTTGCGTGAGCGAAGATTACATGGTAATGCTGAATAGTGGAACATGCAATAGCTGGAATCAACTGAGAACAAATAGTGAGAAATAATGAAACGAAGACTGACAACATCGATCAATTATGGTCTTGAGTATTCTTTGGTGTCATATCCACACGATTCAAGAGATGGCATTTATCATTTTTCGCAGTCTCTTAAGCATTTGAAAATGCATATGGAAGTTTTTGTTGTCAGTGAACATGACTTGAGGGATGATCATAAATAAACTCTTGCGTCATTTATCGTTGGCAAATACATCAGCTGAATCACTTTAACCAACAATTACAACGACACAACGTTTGCATGTGATTATCAATTTTGTTTTTTAGATGGATTCCATATTAATCACAAAATGCTTATTGATATTCTGATGTACGCGTAGTTACGACGAGTATTTTCTTCACTCAGCGAATTGTTCTCCATGTGGAAAATGGGATGTTTTTGTTCGAAGCGAAGAGAGAAGAAGGTCGCTAAACGAACAACATCTGCCTATCTTGGACTTGCTATGATTGAGGTATTTGTGTTTATTTTAGTGGTTTTAAGTTTTTTTTTCTTACTGGAGTGTGTGCCATGCATCACAAGAGAATGATGATCGGAAAATGTAGAACGTAAACACATGTACAGTTGATGTGATACGTTTAGTGCGGTTGGTCGTTGTCTGCTACTGTGAAGATGCACTTGACTGATTTGTATGTCGTTCATTGTCACTTTATGTCAATCATATAACTCAAAAATATCAATTTTTGCGTTTTTGCACGACACGAGATTTCCGACATATTAGAGGGTGTTCCAATGAAAGAAATTTTAGATGAATATTTCCCATTGCATTATGTCGTTTGTATTTTCGGCGCGATACTTTTGTTACTATCCGTCTTCTGAAACAATATGCGCACAGCAGCACGCCTACACATTACCGGTCGCGTAATCGTTTCGAACAGAAACTGCTTTTGTAGACAAAGTGCTCACGGAATAATTGACGAATGCAATACAAAGGTTCCGTTTTAAACATTTGCAATGTTCAAATAGTGTCATTTCAAAGATTTGTTCAGGCAAATAAAGCAGCAGCGTTGATGGTTGGTAATGCATGTTCGGAGGATTTACAACAAGAAATAGCTGAGCGCTTGATTCGTAAGGCGAAAAATGACGGTTGTACAGTATCGGTGGTTGATGGGTGCCTATACATCGATTATAAATTTGTTGGATCTTTACCACCTGGAGTACTTTTGTAGTGTGGAATTCACCTCTTTTGTTGTGTACAAATATTCGATCTTTTTGCATTCATATTTTGCTGTTCACTATCGTCAATTCTTTCATTTCACATGCAACATCCCATTTGATCGTTGCGTATTTTTATAAGTAAATTCTGATTAAGAAGCAATGTCGAGGAATAAAATCATTGTAACGAACAAATAAATCATCAGACATCTTCAATCAAGCGAGATACAAAAAAAGGAATTGAGAATTAACAATCTGCTGGAGAATCACTTTGATGTTAGTGTATACAAAGAGTATTGCAATGCGCATTGATAATTTGAGTGAAGATAACGTTGAGAGGAATATAAGGGGAACAGAACGACAATTTTATTTCCGTCCAATTGTCTCACCGCCATTACATGAATTGATTAAGTTCATGAGCTCTATTAAAGCAAAAGGCTTGCTTGAGATATTGTTGAATACAGAATGCGTAAATGCTTTTATTTGTTTTGGGAATTGCGAATATATTACGAATAAGTGTTCATTATAATAATGAAAGGATGTCACTCAGATACTGATGAATTGTTTATTCACTAACGGCATTCATATACAAAACAGTTCAGAGTAGGCATTCTCATAAAGCGAATCGTTGATATCGCATGGTGCACCTATCGAACTCGTTATTTTATGACCTGCTGTGATTCTGTGAATGCAAATACATCGTCCTCTTATTGAAGAAACTTCCAACCGAGTCGACATGGAGGAACAAACGAATTCGACCAATTCATCGTCAATACCTTGAGGATTATTCGCTATTGAATTTGCTTTGAGGATAATTCGTTGGAAAATATAGCTGAATCAGATGGCTGTCATATCCATCTAGAGAGCTCAAATGCATTAAGCTCTACCGAACAATGTGAAATTGATGTGAGAGGACTGAATTTTTCCGTAGCAAATCACGTGGATATTTGAGAAAGCCTACAAGAACATACTTGATGAAGAATAGTTACATACCTGTACACTGTAAGACAAGTCAACTGAAACGATTATATATCTCAATGAGGTTTTTAGTTGGTATGAGCGTTTGATTAGGTCAAGCTCACAATCAGTATAACAACAGAATGATGCATTCAAAAGTGATTGTTTCCAGAAGGACAAACTGAATGAACGAGCGATTCGATTGATAAATGCACAAGCTTCATAATGCAATTCACTGGGTGTATTGAGGAACCACCCACATAAGATGTTAACATGGTAGCGTTCGATCAATTAGAAATGGTAGCATCGATCATCAGCTTTAACGACACAACGATCCGATGAAAATAGCTTCAGCTGCTGAATAGTCGACGCAATCTCAGGATAGTCTCATGATTCCAGTGCGCGCAAAGTTGTTTTAAACAGTCATATGATTTCTCCAAACGCTTCATATTTTTCACATTCTGTCGGTGTTCGAATCTGCTGCAAATCGACGCGAACTCGTTTTCCAAATCATCCAACTAACCATGTGATTGAAGCGAACCGTGCCGATCATAAAATTTTGCAGACAGCATGTATGCGTTCCCAGCAAGGATGATCGTGTTCTTCAGGTAAATCGTGATAAAAAAAAGGTGAATCATATTCTTCAACTGAATCGTGATAAAAAATTGTATGCGGAAATACGTTCAGAGATAACTGCATCAGCATTACGAATCCTGGCCGTATTCTTTGCAATCCAGGGAGATGCAAACTGAACCGAAAAGTTCATTGTTCACGGTTCCATCTCTTTCATCCACCCCTTCTGCCACACTAAACAGAATCCTCGTCAATTGCCCGCAAAATTTACGCTGAAAGGAAGCGAAGCGCCAATGTCACTGAGGTACACTAAACTCATTAGTTCATTCAAATATCATTTTTTACACTGATTCGAAGTGTTCTGAAAGCATTCTGATGCTGTTTGTCGATTCCACAATATATCTTTTTCAAGTATAACGCTATTCATGCATCGTTAGCTAGAAAGCACTGATATATTGTGCTATCGACAACTTCAAAATCGTCACGAATGAAATTTTGAACGTAAAAAAACTTCATTGTCACAATCTTTCAGATTTCTAACACGTACACCTAGATCGAGACATTCGTTTGGTTACTGGCAAACAGAAATTTCTTAGAATCAATATTTGTATCAGCTCTTCCACTTTCTGCATGAAGCTTTTAAGCTTAAAAAGTAATTCTGAAAGCATAACGAACTGATTCTGATGAGTGAAATGGTTTCGCATTGCGCGCTGCAACACTTCAATCTGAGCACGCATTTCCTCTTGTGCAGACACCAGTCGTTGCATCGATGAGTGCATTTCGGTCACCAGCTGAAGTGTATACCTATCGTCTATATTTTGCAACTGAATGAATACTTCAATGTATTCATCGCGAGCAACCAAAATTCCACGCAGAGTTAACACATGTAACACTAGGACTCGTAACTGTTAACTGTGTATGTGAACTGATAACGAGCGGCCTTTGGATGAACAATAGTTATTCATTTCGTGTCTCAAAATAGCTACTAGAAGAAGCATTAAGCAACTCACTCTGCTCACTTGATCAAGAGATGTGGAACTAATCTCATTGAATGCACGAATTTTACTCTTGATATGCCGGAAGCTGAAAATTTTCATTTGATGGGACGGTTGATTTTAACATAAGTGCCAAAATATTGGATTAATTCGATGCGCTGACTGAAAAATGAAAGCAGAAAATTTTCTAAAGAATCTTTTGGTGTCACTGAATCGAGTTTTTTCAGTTATCGTGCACGACAGCATCATAAATCGAATTTTGTGTTCGATACTGAGTTCAGAACTTGTTGTGAAAAGCAATCGAAAAGATGCTGGAATATAACGCCAGAAATTCGATTCATATCTCTGGAAATTACTGCCTGAAGAAGCAAGAAAAGGGAACGAACTAATGAATAGATTTAAGGAATTTTCGTTGATATTGTCTGAGAGCACTGTCATTATTCGTATCGCTGCTTTGCAAACATTTATGGATGTGCCAGGTGTGCTGTAAGACGCATGCAGCAGCATGTTTATGTTGCAGTATTAAACGAGAATCGTTCATGAATATGTTCACGTTCCGCTGTCCTTGAGATAGAAGAATCTTTCGTGATATCACTGCTATCAAAATCGATGAAACAACTGCTCCCTGAAATGTGCGATTCTCCTTCATCTAGTGCACTTTTTAACATTCATCAACCTAACCTAACGAATTCCATACGCTTAAAATGCATCAAAGGGATATCTGAATTCAATATGCATCAGCGAACAAAGATAATATCAAATGTTCAGAAAGAAGGTGTTCAGTTTCAACGAGGCAATCTGCGAGCACTTAATCACTGATATCCAAAAATTCATTGAAAAATCAAAAAGTACACAAAAAACGAAAGGAATGCTGAAATGATTTAAGCGACGAGCGATTATGAAATGGTGTCATTACAGCGTTTAAAAATTCACAGAAAAATGCAATTCTAAAAAAAACTATCATCAAATTGAATTCACAGACTTACAACAACGCCAACGAAAATCGCAATAATCCGTCCGCATTGCGTTTGAGGTACAATGTCGCCATAACCGTTCAACATAAACGTTATCGCTGAAACAATTCGATCACATTTTCCACAATTCTAAAGCATTCCCTAGAAAAGCATATCTTAATAGTCACGAAATATGGGGCTCATTTGGAGAGAGGTCGAAAATGGCTCACTGCATGCACCATTACAAGGTTTCACAAGCGATCGATGATGAACACTTTCGAGAAGGACAATTTCACTTTGAGATGGTTGTGCCTACTTGCATATTGAAACGAATGAAATGTGAATAACAGTGTTAAGTTCCCTTGGATGCAACTAGTTTAGAAAACACACTGATCTATAGCGTGAATCTACGTAAAATTCGCATTTCGGTAAAATAATCTCAGAAGTACTTCCAATCAATAATCAAGACGAAAAGTGATAGTGATTAGTCTGAATCCAACATAACGAGGAACACCAGAAAAGTGTCCGAATGCGCTAAGCTGGATAATTCGTTAAGATCACTAGTGGTATGAGATTGCAATTCCTCAGCTGATCGCATAAATTCCATGACAATTCTATAAGTGACCGCAAAATTATTTCTACTCACCGACAAACCAAAGCGCATTTGAATACACAAGTGAGGGACTTTCGTCTCTTCCAAACCTGCAGTAATTTGCTTCATTTGCTAAGAAGCTCATAGTCAAGATATTTTTCGTAAATTCTCATCATCTAATCTCGAACAACAAGAAATACTCTCTTATCGCAAAATAGAAAAGACGGTCCTAATTCAGAAGAATAAGGCAAACGTTAGTCACAAGATGATCATAGTTCACATACTGAGGGTTTTGAGTCAGACTGCGAAGATTCATCAATAGGTACTCAGAAGAATAACGTTGATAAGTGGAGAAACAAATTAAATGCATGGAAACAACCTTTCACACTGTACAAAGGTCCATGCAGTTATCATCCAAAAGATGAGAGTAAATGCAGTTAGGAATCTAATTGGTTCCTGATCAAGAACAGTTTTCATGACGAATGAGAAGTTGACTTGAATTCGATTCAACGCAGCTAACGTCCGCGTTGATGCATCCTTCAAAAAGGTTCATTGAGTACTGCGCAGTAGTGATACAGATCTGATGCAGTGGGAACAAATATAATTTGATTACGCATGTATTGGGCTGTTGCATAAGTTCGTGCGCTTTATCTAAGTTTTCTAAAACTTCCATTTCAAACCACAGAGGCTTATCAATCAATCGATAATGTATTCTCCTTCGGTTTCCACGACTTCCTGCCATCGTTTCACCAGGAAGTCGATTCCGTGACGATAGAATTCCGCTGGCTTCGAGGCGAAGAAGTCGTCTAGCCACGTTTTGAGGGCATGATCGTTATCGAAGGCTATACCGCTGAGGCTGTTCGATAGGGAGACGAAGAGGTGGTAGTCAAATGGAGCGAGGTCTGGCGGATAAGGTGGATGAACCAAAATTCCCATCCAAGCTCGATCGTTTTTCTGGTCAGTTTTGCCGTGTGGAGGCGCGCGTTGTCATGTTGCAGGATGACTTTGTTCGCGATATCGGGCCGTTTGTCCTGAATAGCCCGGTTGTGCCGGTTCAGTTGCTTGCTGTACAATGCAGCATTGACTGCTTCGTCGTTCTGAAGCCTCTGAAGCATCGTTCTGATGGATGAGAGCATTCAGACGCCCTTCGTCGAGATCCAACGTCCGACCTGAATGTCACCCGCCCTCCACGTCGGAGTCGTAGTTCGCGAACCATTTCTGGGCTGTTCTTACCAGCGCTGCATCATCTCCGTATACGGCGCAAATGTCACAGGCGACCGTTGAGCCCTGATTGAATGCACAAAGTAGCACTTGTCGAAAGTGTGTTTTCATGTCCATTTAAAGCGTCATTTCGTCACGCTGAAGATCCAAAGGAAACAAAACTGCAGTAGATCGTCTAACACAGTTGTGAAGAACAGAAAACACGTCATCGATTGTGTATAACACTCTTCCGGAAAAGTGGACTTTCGCCGGAATAATTCAGTTTGAATAAAAGCGCACGAACTTATGCAACAACCCAATAATTTCATTAACAGATACAAGTTGCGATGTAACGGAAGTAACTTCCTTGCGGTGACAGAAATTTGATCATGACATCAATTAACGAGAGCGCGCCATAAATGGTAGTGCAAACCTGGAATTGTTTACTGTGAAGTACCATGAAGCGACCAACCAGATAGACTCGACCAAGCATCAATAAGGACAAGACCACGTCCAAAGGTACTTCTGCAGTTCTGTTGACCCGATAAATCCTGGTCGATTCCATAATTGTCCAATTCAGATGACCACTACCTCAAATAATTGAACGAGTATACACAGCATAGCGTTTTGCTCGTATGCGTTTTCCGATAAAAGTGCTTTCATTTTGAACACGTAATCGACTGGTAGGAAACATTAGAAAAATATACTGAATTCGTCTTAACACCCACAGATGTATATATGTTCTGCTATGCATATATGCTTTTCTGAACATAGGCATTTTCGAATCCAAAATCTTCGAAAATTTCGCAAGCGAAGTGATTGCAACCCGAAAATCATTGATCTATCGAATTCCACTTAGGAATACGCTTCTTCGATCGAACAGAATTTATCAGTTAAAGGTTCATTTTATTAGGAATCGATAACGCCCGGACAGATTTTGTTGCGTTGAACCTACCGGGCAACGGACACACAGAGCAAATGATAATTTCAGATGCGAATTGTGTTATCCTATCCAGCGACATCACAACTCGCCAGTCATCAGCTCCACAATCCACTAATTCCAGCTGCAATTTACACATTCACTTCTTATAACTGAATCAAGTTTCACGAAACTCTTTATATAACGAGAGGTTACTTTCTTATAGCGTTCTTCAGTGCAATGATCTTTCGAGAGGTTGCTCCGAATCAGTCTAATGTATATCCATAACGCTGAATGTGATTAAGTGATATTCAAAGACTGGAACGGAGTGATTGAATAGGCTGACTATCAAGTGATGTAACACATTTTGAATCGCACCTTTATTTCATTCATATGATAGCGCACAATTTGAGAAACGAGTAGGAGCGTCGAGAACGCAACGAGTGTTCGTAGCATCAATGAAATCGGATGACTCTGCAAGAGAATTTGCACACTTTTTTTACATTCTCCACCTTATCGGATCACATCTACAAAGATCAATTCTGGTGCAGTCATTGATGCATCTGTTCTTAAGCCGTTTCATCTGCATCATTGATTCCCAACCTCTCCCAACAAGTCCTCCTTTTAAAGCAGTTCCAGAGCCGAAACACCCTTTCCATTTCTCTCCCCACCAACAATGTAATTGAATAACCTTATCGAGGAAACTGAGTAAAACACTGGAATGATTCTAAACGGCCTATTTCACCTTGTCCAATTCACCCGCCTGCGTACCCGTATCGCTTTCTTTGGAAAGCAACGCCCTAGGTGAGGAACGCTCGGCTGCACAGAATCATTTACGAATGATGTAACGTGATGACCGGAACGACAGATACCTTTGAAATACCGAATAGGAGTTGAGCTGTGATTTCACTATCAATCGCCATCACTAATATACCAATCATTGCAAATATCAAACAACGATCATTGATCGCTACTCGGTCTTTGAGCCGTTCCGAACGAATTCGATAAACTAATTTCGCAGCCGCACTATCGATAGGAACTCCATAACTGAAATAGTATTAGCATGATTACTCATTCATAAATCAATGTGAAAGTCTCCAACGAAGATGATTAAGTGTCGCTTTACTGATTAACATTATCATCACTTGATCTGCTATTTATTTGATATGAATTATGGGTACTTGTGATGGAATAACGGTACTATGAACACTTAGTTGAGAAGGTTCTTCAAGCAAGAATTGCAATGCATGAAACTGTTGCGTAGGAATGTTGTTAGTTTCAACAGAGACGCTGGAAAGAAAGTGACTGATCGATGATAGAAGTGACTGCTACGATTACGCAAACTACTGATATCGAAGCATCTAACCGACTGTTATTCCTATTCAAGCGCTCAAATGATACGTGGTTTGCATTATTCGAATACGTTATCGTCTCCTTATCAACCGACGATTTTTGAGAATCAATAGCCAACGAAACACTCGAGGATTTATTCGTTGAAATTTTCAGTTGAGAACCAGTATCTTGTACCTTGATTGTAGGAGCTTGGAAGCGCTGAGTGGCTGAAATATTGTCACAATTCGGCCAATAATGAATAGTTGACTTTGTCTTTGATACTGCAGGTTAGTGATGGCATGCGACCGACGGTCGGTCGGTCGGAAAAATCCGAAAATTTCGGTCGGATTCCGACCAAGCAGTTTGGAAGGCCTGTCGGAATTCCGACTGTCGGAATGGTGAAAAGTCATTCCGGTCGGATTCCGATCAGAAGGAATTTCGCTCAGATGCCATCACTACTGCAGGTATATTGAAGACAATAGTTTTGAATAGAACTCCTTTTACGGGTCGCCCAATAACTGCATAGCTAAATAAGTGTACACATATTTGACAATTTTGGACACTTTCAATTTTTTTCCAATTCGTCCGTGAGCGCCCGAAATGATCGTTGATGATTTGCAAACCTTATGACACGAAAAAATGCATGGGCACTGTTCATTTATCAGATTTAGTTCTAACAGCGCAACTGCCAAAACAAATCCGATATTCACGATCAGCTACCAACAGGAAGCAGCCTCCATCGGCAACAAAGATTCCATAGATTTCAACGGGGTCGAAGCAGGGTTTCCGTTGAATTTCTATTGCCTTCATACAAGCAATTGCAAAACCACTCGAACAACACTCTCTCAAAAACGTACCATTTGAGTCGATCGATTCTCGACTAATATCGATCCTGGTATATGCTGGCGGCATAGTGCCGAGTTTTTTTCGTGCCGATAACAAATTCCTGAACTGCTGCCGACTTCCATTCAATCGCAAGAAATCGGCGCTCACCTGAAAACTTGATACAGTGCACTGATGAAATTTAACGTATACAAATACAGTTGACAAACCAAATTTTTACATTGTTAAGAAAATGACAACAGTTCTTTTTGGTTGATGTTGAATTCATGCATCTGGGAAACGTTTTTGACGGAAGACACCAGGAGGAAAATTCTAAATCCTGAGTCGAAAATTTTTATGGTGCCATGGCGCACGCATTTTGAAAAATGGATAAAATTTGATATCATTCTGGTTTGAGTGACCATTCGGTTGGAGTGATCTGAAACACTTTCCAGTGACCTCATGAATGGAGGAACGCCTTCGTCGATGATCAGGCTGAAGAGTTTTCATCGCGAATATCGCTGATAGCTATCACAACATAATTCTTCGAAAGTGCCCAGTAGACATTTCAAACGATTGCTAAAATGTGAATTGGACATGATAATAGCGGCACGCTTTCGTATACGAGCATGAGTATTCACGGTATAAGAATCAGGTTGGAAATGCCTCGAGGCTCAGCATAAACTGAATGACCCAGTGAGAACCATGAACACAACGAAACTGAGGATAAAATAGACCAAAGACAAGTTTGTTGAAATGGTGAATTATCTTCAAATATAATGTAGCGAATCCTAATCTGAGCAAAGGCATCATAACGTGCGCGTATGACACATTCATCTAATTGGACCAATTTAAGATAACTCGTAAGGAAACAGCAGCAGAGTGTAAGATTTCGATCAGTGATCATTACTCAGTGGAATGAACTCATGAATGTTTCATATCAGTAATGTGAAGAGAGCGATCCGTTATTCTGATGTCAAACGGCAGCAGTGGCTGTCTGCGATGGAATATCTTGTTATGAGTCATTTAGTAATCTGACGTAAACACGTGTTGTTGCTGACTTTGTTCTGCCATTCAATTAGCTAACGAGGAATTTCGCTTTGCATCGTTTTGTCTAACCGATAGATACATTTTGCATATCATTTTCCAAAGTTAATTGCCTCAATTCGTTTTTATTTCTTCTTTTGTTTGTAATTAATTCTGCAATTGAGTCTCTTTCTAATTCATTTATTTCTAATTCATTATTTCTTTATTTCTAATTCATTTATTTCTTCATCCTTTCGACCGACAGCACAGTGCAGACAAGAATGTTCTCGAATCGCTCAAATTATAATACGGCTTGTTCACATGAGAATCTCATTAATATTTCATTTCGATCGTACGAAACAAACCCATCGAATTTCCGCTATCTTGACCACCAGCAGTCAGAATCAAAAAACGAATTCTTTCCTTCTAAATCAGATCTTCTCGATTACAACTACTTAAGAATTTACTTATGACTGCGATGGGAACGATGACAGATACATTTGATCAGCAGCGGTGATAGATCAACTAATGTATGTTACGCCTGTGGTATTTGCTAAACGAAGTGAACGATGCCAGAAATATCAGCGTTTACAATTGTTTCGAGCTAAGGTTATGATTATCCATTGAATATCTCTCAATCAAGCAACTTGCGGAATGCTAGCTTCCCAATCTAAGCGAAATAAATAAATTCGGACAAAAGCTGAAATTCGACGATCTGATGCACGTACGGCCACATTTGATGAAATGGAATGGAAGCACTTATATCCTTCAAATAAGACTCATGGACAGCTCTTGAAGGACAGATTACATCACATAATCCTAATCCTTCCAATAATACCCATGGATAGCCGACAAGAAACGAACGTAATGAAGATTTGTGCTCACACCAGGATTACGGATAAAATAAGATGATCACTGAATTTACAAGGCTCTCGTTGAATATTGCATAACATATACGTTAGTTGTTTGGTGAAAACAATACGGCTATTACGAATGAAGATCAGTTTTTTACATAAAAATTTCCAGCCAGTTCAGTCAGGAGCTGCTTGACATGAAAGTTACGAATGTCGTCCAGCACAGTGCCAACTGGAAAATGAATATCACGAAGGTGTTCTCTCATGAGCAATGTCACAAACTGCCCTTGAACTGAAAAAGGACCGTTACGAGAATAATAAATGATTCAACATTACGTGGTATGACACAAAAAATGCACGTATGCATCCGCAGGTGAGAGTAATTATCTTGGATCTTATTTTTGTTGATTTGTGGTGAATGTGAATTTGTGGTACGAATCTGCTCACCATCTGCATTAGCTGATTAGTTTATTAGCGCTAGTTCAGTGTGATTACGTTCAGAAGCGGTAAGATGCACTACGTTAATGAGATTTGAATAAGACATGAGACTTGCACAAAACACGAGTCCTTCTGAGATGATTGCAGCTACATTCGAATAAAATTCATTGCTAAGATGGAATGTTAACGGCTATTAGAAAATATTCTTTGCCTTACACTTAATGAAAATGCTTGAGCCGTTTTTGTTGCATCGATTGAGCACATTTGAAATGAGTGGAAGAAGAATGAGAATGTGGTTCAGGTGGTAAGTGAACCTTGGTGATTCACGAAGCTTTCACAGTTCTTAAACAAAATAAAATGAATTATGCATTTATCAATCTCTTAAAGGGCTGACTTGTCTCTAATGGAATATGAAAGTTCCGCCTCCAACATTTCGCTCTTCGAAAGTTTGCCCATATTCCGTTTCCGTAGATAGTTCACTCTCCGTTATAATTGTCATCCTGTGGAGCAGATTGTATTAGATATTACGTGGGATATATTGGATTGTATTCGAAATTTTTGCTCCATTATATTTCATCGTATCTGGCTTCGTTTAATTGTAGTTAAACAACATACATTTGCTCATGAGTTGGTTGGGAGGCTACAGCATTTGCATTCATAGAGAGATTTGTCAATTTTCACTTATATGATAGTCCTCCTTTGTCCATGAAACGGTTGCAATTAATTGCAGACCATAAAGCCACTCAGCAAAATAGCTTTGATGGCATCTATATGTGCAAAAGCAGATGGGAAGTAATTCAGGCAGTAAAGGAACTTGTTGATAAATTTCAATGTTTTAATTGTTGACGAATGTTTTTCATTGCTTCTCGTTGTTTATTTCTGAGGTTCATATTCTTCTTGCAACTGATAAATAAATTTCTGAAGATGTTTGTTTCATTTCAAAAATGAATTTGATTAACGCCGTCGGGGAATTTCCAGACTGGCTTTCCATTTTTTTCCTAGTGTTATGCATGGAAGGAGTACGTTACTCTAGTCGGGAGGGGTAATGACGGCCGGCTAAACCACCGAAGGGGACACTGGAGCTTGTAAGCATGAGAAGCACTGCGTTAATCGAACATAACAGTGAAATTGTGGTCTTATTATTATCGAGTTTTGGAGTAATTAATAAATGTTCAAATTGTTTACATTCACAATGGAACGATTCGTGTGACAATTCTATGCTCTGTGGGATTAGTTCGATAAATAAGCCGATGGATCGTACTAGAGATGAATTGAGTTTCAGTCGCATTCATATAAATTAAGCAATCAACAGTGAGTATATTATACAACATAAAACGTGTAAGAGGCGCAGACTGAACAGCAAAGGCAAGAAACACTATTATATTGGTTTTATTGATAACTCACGACCGGACTCTCATGGCGTCAGACTGAATGCTACTTTTTGAATGGTTTGAATTGAGATGATGATGGATTTTCACGCGTTCCGAATGAATGAAAACAATTTCATATGAACTCATTCCCTCAGCTATTGGTTTTGGAATCGTTAACAAATTCTAGTCCCCCATGATTCAGTCGGAATCGCAGCTGTGCACTTATCAGTGATTTCGTGCAGCACCCCAAATGTATTCGATGAACTTTTAAACTTGACTGACTGTTCTCCAAACCATTTTCCATGAATTGTACTGAGAAAATGAACTACAAATTCACAGGCTAGAACGTATGATGTATACCGAAGTATTCGTATTGTTTTGAGGTTTACAAATGAACACTTGCATAAACCATACATTAGATCCACATTCATGGAAACCTCATAAAATACGACATCAAATTGGTTAAGAATCGACCTACACACAAATTCTGCGAGGAGGCCAGGAAGTGAATGCGAAGGCCAAGAGAACAGCATTAAGAAAGAAATTTTTTGTTAGCTCGTTGGGCAATAGAAGAAAACAAAACGAATCGTGGATCATTATTGCTCTATTCAAGAGGAATAACAATAGCAAGAAATAAAACATGACAATATCCTAAGTTCCCCTTCTTATCGTAATTTTTGTTCCCTTCAAAAATGATTAGCACTGAAAAATGTGCAAAGTAAACATTCTTCCACTAATGAACTGCGCGGAAGCTGCAAGTTTTCTTCCGGTTTACAGGCGATGCAAAACTCTTATTTCGCTCAATTCATCAAATGATTTCATTGCAACTAATGAAAATGATCCAAACTGATTCAGGTGGAATTTGTGTTATATCACATTAGCATATGCGTATTAGTAGATTCTTTATCAGCACATTCTGCAAGGCACACTCTTTCGAGCATATTCTTCAAAAAGTTTCGCTCAGTTCCAGATTCAGAAAAAAACAAGCTGTGTTCACAAAATTTGATGACGTCCTGAGCTGTTAGCAAATTGAAATAAACATCATTCGTATTGCTGTTCTACTTCATCGAAACACTCACAAGATAGCAACAAGTTGTTGACAATTGACAACAACAGCAATGAAATTGCTTGAAGGAAAGTGAAATAATAGAGATCTTGAAGTTGGCAAGCATGACGGATTTCATTGAAGCACAAGGTTGGACGTTTCGAGTGATGCATTTTGAGAATGCTGATGAGTAATTCACCTGTGCATTCAAACTTTTTTCCTTGGAAACGATACGTGGTTTTGTTAATTTTGAAACTCGATCGATCTGACAACTCAAGAACTGTATTTATTAAATACATCAAATTGATTCAGAAATAATCATCTTCTTATTGAGAGTTGAATTCGACGAAAATGACGTGACATTCATTGTTAACTAGTGAGTCACTCAAATGCAATTGGAAAAATGAAAGGTTTTTGAGATGTTGAAAACAGATTTTGTTATTTGACCAATAGAGGATGATTATGAAGCTTTGCGAACCCAAAGAATTTTGGCGAGTCATTTTTCTAAAGTGAACGGTAAAAGTTCATTCACGTTTAGTCGGTTGGGGAAGCTCTTGAGGTGATCTATTTTGATCGTGTTTTCAGAAAAAAAGATTCGAATCTCGTCGAATGCTTAAATTAAATCTTTATTAAATCTTAAATTAACTTAAATCTTTCGGCTGATCCACTCGTGTCAGCATTATTCAGCGCGGAACTCTATCGTAGAATAAATAATCTCCGCTAATTCCATTTTCACCCAGTAATGACACTGGAAAGCGGAAGATTATTGCAAAAAAAACTGAATTTAAAGGCCGACCCAACTATTCGAAATCATTTGGTGATTCTGATTAGCGTAGTTGCTGGAAACCTACTGATGTATATGGTACCTGCAGGCGTGGCTATTGAGTAAGCGGAACATCAAATTAGCGACTTTAACGTTGATTTCTTCACTGAAGTGCAAAGAAGAATTGAAGAGATTAACTCATGAGTTTCACAACAAATAAATTCATGGCTATCCAGATACATTTATGTCAAGCAAAAGAGATGGAAAGCAAATCTCTAGACACATTTTCCATTTACAGATACATTTAGATACATTTGAGAATGCATTTTCTCACCCGAAATGCTCGATATTTGGGGCAACATTCAATTTATTGCCCATCCCATTAATTCTTTCACATCAATGAATGAATCCCCGAGTCAGCCTTTCAAATGAGATAATTGTGTGAAGATAAAATGAGCTAGATAAAGGTGAAATTTTCCAGATGATAAGGCGAAATCTGGCGAAGAAAGAAAACAGTGAGAATTTGCGGACAAAAAGCTTAAGAAAAGCTGGGACGTATTCTCTGCAGAACTCATTTTTAGTGCGACCCCACAAGTGTAGTCCAAGCAGATTGCCTGAATGTATTTCAGCTTCAGACGGCATTTGCAGATGAAGGTCACCAAAAGCAATGAGTGGAAAAAAATTCGATCACAGGAATAAGATTTATGATGTATTCATGAACAGAATGCAAACTAGTCGGTTGCATTAGCGTTCATTTCTGGAATAATTTTCAAAAAGTTTGCACTAATGTTTTTTTTTATACTATCTGTTTCGAATTCGTTGAGGACATAAAATAAACGTTTAACACACAATGAAAGCTTGAATCGAAAGAAAGGAGATCAATGAATAGTTTCGATTCATTTGATTAAATGACATCAGCACCAACGAAACAGCAAAACATCGAAAGGAAGGAGTGAAGTTGATGAAGCATGATGGAACGTACGCGTAACAATATGATTCTCCAGGGTACGCTGCACGAGTTTATTTGTCACAAGCAGTTGAGCTGACTTCAAACAAACACCAAGTTTTGAGGTCAGTGTCCAAAATCCATTACTACCATAAGCTCTTGATAACTTCTAAAATCCTCGGAAATGACTGATGAATTCGTTGGCAATTGAAGTTGAATTAATTTCCCCCTGAACGCTTTTCATCACTGCTACAAATTTGAAATGACATTGTCGCCACGATGGTTCAGTTACAGCTATTTGGAACTGTCCGTGATTTGTTGCGATTCTTTCAGCAGCACAATTATTTAAGCAAGATTCCGTGGCTTATCTAGCGATTATTTGTGAATTTTACGAAATTCACATACTTTTCATGAAGAAATTCAATTACGACTACGTATATACCGATATGAAAATAAATATGACTACTGTAAGAGACTAAAATTCATTGCTATAAATTCACTTGAATTCGTTGAGAACATGAATACACAGAGACGTGAAACGGAAATTTGACTGACTGATTGCAGCTCTCAGAAACTATAAGGTTGAAAACAGATGAGGCATTGGGCAAAGGAGCAAGAATGAATTACGAACTTATTATTCCGAAAAACAGCTTGGCTTTTTCATCGAATGGCCTGCATAAACAAACAACGAAATTCTCAAGGAATTAATGCATCTGAATATAATGCATCTGAAATGTAAATGTTGAAATGTAACTGCTCAATGCATGAACGGAAATCCTCAGTGCTCAGCTTCAGTTGATGTCCTATACTGAAACATGATCCAACATTCAGGCCTTCACAATATCAAATGGCACTTGATTTAACCAAATAACTTGCACGTGAAATTGATATATCAGCCAACTAATGCGTTCCCATTCGGTGACTGTGATCAGCCTCATCAATGCGAATTTCAGCGATTGGAGTGATTTGACGAAAATTATCAACCAACATATCAGAGGCGAAAATATTGATTTCGCTAATGTTAACCGCGACAATTCCCATTTGCTGTTCTTTATATGACAGTTTGATGTATTATATTATTACTAGTCAACTAGCAGTAGGCTCTGTCAAAACTTATTATTTTAATATCTCTTCCGCGCCCTTATCACTGAAACAAGTTGAAGGAGCATAAGAGCTCGTGGATAGTCAATAGAAAGTTGAACTGGTGACGGAGATTACTAATTTCTAGCTGTAATTCTGATCTTCTCCATTCATGGACTGTGAAGCATGCCAGCATGGCATTGTTTGCAGGGTTTTTATAACATGATGGAATTATTAGAATTCAAGTCGAACACAGAAATAATTATTCTGGATACGTTTCCTTTCAAATAATAATTACTTTGGCATACAAACAAAGTTCTTCGGTGAATGATTTCAATTGAATTGAAAAACAATGAATATTTTATCCGAAGGGAATTAACTGAGCAGCTGTATGAAAGTCACTCATGGCCACAATGCAATTTCATCAATCAACAAAACATCACTGATGCGGAGCAGTCAACATAAACTTTGAACAATACTCGACAGCAGTATCATAGAAGAAATTTTTTGGCGGAATGATTGATCCACTTGTATTAAAATGAAATATTGCACAATCAGAACAAAATTTACACTATTACGTCCACGCTCAAAGCTTCATCAAGATCACAGCAATTATTTTGCGTTGATCTGATCATTAGCAATTGTGAGGTGCATAGTACTAATGTTAACCAACCGGACATCGGCCAGTAAGTAGGATCGAAATTTGTTTGCATTCCGAGCAACTGTTCATTTTTGACAATTTCTCTGTTTTTCAATGATCACAAATGCTCGAAATTGCGAAACTGGACTTCGTCGAATTCTAATCGACAAGTTGGAAACATCTTCTTTCTTGAGCACAAAATAGAATTCCACCGGATTCAGACTGAACCAATTTTTCGTTCCACCGCCGTCACTACTGCATATCTAATAACTGTCCCTCGAGAATGTTTTCGTATCACGTTTCGTAATGTCTTCTTCTCATGCTGCAGTAGGCTGTTGAAAAATACTGCTCCAAAATGAGCAAAAACCAGGCGGTGCAATGAACATTCTGCAGTCGTCTTCCTCCCGCAAAACCATATGATCACCATCGATTCTCACCGATCATCAAAGAAATACTCATGCAAACTGTCTATACTCCTATGTGTTTGCATACTCCTATGCGTACACCTCCGAAAAGATAACGTGCGATTCACAATTGAACACGAGTTATACTGTTTGCTTCTAAAGGCAGTTAAAGTTACCACATAAATTTCCATGGGCAAAAAAGTAGTTCTAAAATTAAAGTGCTGAATTGCTTTATGAAACGACTGAATGATAGTGATACTGAAAACACGTTCAAGTGCAACAATGCAGCTCGAATGAAGTGAGGAATTCGATCTGAAAGCGCAAGAGGTAAACGTATTTGACTTGAATAGCGGCGCTATTGCATATGCCATTCATTAGTGCAAACCTGGGCATGCAAATATTCATATACCATCGTGTTCAAACAACTTCTCCATTCCCCTTCCAGCTCTGAGCCATCCGTTTACGATAACATGCAAGATCTAATTTAGCTTCAGCCAATCAATCACTTACCCTTACAAGTGGATTATTTTCGCTTGCGCTCAAATAATTCGAGCCGTCACCACCAAGGTCGAACGATTTACCATTCTTGATGTCATCCACAGACGGCCTCGGTGTTCGGTAATCTTCTAACTCGACCGATGGAGCAGATGCTACTGTAGGCCACTGAAACTAATCTCTGGTTCCGAAAATTCTTCTGAAACACTTTTAAAATTGTTGTTTACACGGTATCGAAATTCCAACTTTTGAATCCCGATATCGTGTAAACGCAGCAGTTTTAAAGAACTTTGAGAATTTACAAAACAGTAGTATGGTAATATACTTATTAGACATCGACCATTCGCACATCATTCATATGCAGTAACATTTCTTGTTTACTACTTCAGCGGCAACCAACCGATAAATCATTCATAATAGCACCATCGCGGCGTTCGTTTTTCAAAAAACAGTGAACAAAAATTTTGTAATGTCGACACTTTTGCTTGGTCCCTCATCATTACTGTTGTTTTGTTTTACTTTTGCAATCTTTTTTCTCATCTCAGGATCATCCTCTTATTAAAAACTGATCCCGCAATTTGGTTTCGGCATTTTGCAAACAACACTTATAACTCATCAATGCAAAAAACGACCAGAACATGTTCTACTTAATGGTTCGCCTTGCAAACTTCGCTGATATAACATTTTCATTTAATCATCTTCAAACGATTGCAACGAAAATGACGTTTGCATTATTTTTTTCCACTCTGGTAATGCAGAAACAGATAAATTCGTTCCTTAATGCATATGAAGGAACTGTTTTTTTCTTTTTTTTAACTCGTGAAACCAAACAAAATCGAAACATTTGGGAAGAATCACTTATCCAATAATCCGCATCTTCCAAATCCTCTGTTCATCAACTTTGTTAAGCCTCCATAACATCACACACTTATGCATAAGCACCAGCGCGGTTTTATGTCAGAGAGGATCTGAATGTCACTCACAAGGATATATGCATCATACGAGTGTCAACTTAAACGCTTTCACTTATTACTATCTTGATCGATTTTCATTGGACATCAACGCAGAATGATCAGTAAAACCTACTAGTGATCCTCGACATCGGAAACTTTTTCGCCGATCGCTTACGTATGTTGGATAATCTGTCGAATCCATGATGACAACACCATTCGAAAGCGACTTTAGGTGAGACGGTGTTGCAGACGGTAGTAGTGAAAGTTGCTGTTGGGATTGATGCGAATGATTTGTTGATTTGGCAGGTGATGATGACATGAGCAATGCCGTGTTCAGATTGGGATTATCCATTCAATTAGCGATAGCGAGTCGGTTTTGTCCTCAACTAACTTCATTAGTAACACACTCAGTTTTGAATCGTTGATCAAGTTTTTCGTAACGAATACTAAATGAATCGCAATTATATCAAATCCATTATGCACAAATGAAACTCAAATCCCTATCGAGCATCCATGAAATCCTCATCGAATTACAATCGCAAACGTGCTCACTTCCAGCCGCATGTGCACTTGAAATTTTCTTCAGAAGCAGTTGCTGTGGGAGTTAAAAGCTTGCGCTTTCCTGGTTCCTTTGCTTCGTTATCAACATACAATTATTTGTCACAACGCAATTAGTCGTGCAATGTTGAAACATTCATAAATTGCACCGCAAAAAAACTGCTATTTGTATATGACGAATTTTCGTCGTAATTCCGGTTCGTTATTCGCTTTCACAAAGAGATGGGATGAGTGAAAAAACTCGGAAGCAAACTTTCGAGAGAAGACGCTTACTGATAATAAGGCACAACAGATGTGACAATCAATTACTCATGCATCTCCTATAAACTTCATTCTTACAACGAATATCGTCCCCAGCCGATCTCGATGGTCCACTTACATCTTATTTGATATCGAATGTTGCAAAAAAGTGCGCAAGAGTTACCTATTCTCTCAATTCGAGGCAACTCACTCTCCGTTTGGCCAATGGAACATTTATGCAACTGAGAGCAAATCAATTCATTTTTGGCAATGTATTATTTAATGCAATTTTTATCTATAATAACGCTAACACTCACATGTTATTAGTATGAATTGACAATAAGATATAAACGCAATGGGATTTCGTTCTAGATGTGAAGCTATTGTCACGAATTTTTTTCTTGTCACGCAATCAGTGCGAAATCATCGAGAATGACTAGTGAAATAAGTTGAGTTGTTTTGAAGAGAACACAACAAATTCAACAACTTTCCATTAAAATGCCAATCGTGCACCGGAAAAGAATGAGCCGTTACTCTATTGACAGAATGCAGTCGTTCCATAGAATCTATCGTCAATGAATGCAAATACGATCGGCAAAAATCTAATCACAAAAACACATTCGCATGCAGATCACGTTGAGAGAAGAGGCTCATTGAAGGTTGATTGTAAGGATCTTTCTGCCTGAGGTATTTACTCGCTGATCACTGCCTCTCTTCTATTTGTTTCTTCATACTATCAATGAGAACAAACCGAATATGGCAACAAACAATCACTGTAGTTCTCGGCACGAAAAGTAGCAGTGTTTCTCGGTCGAACGCTGCTACTTTCCGTCCAGTGAAGTAGTTACAACGCAACATTTGATTACAAATTACTAATAATTAGTTGCTTCCGTTCCTTCCACGGAACGGACACAGTAGCAAACACGAATCTCTTCATCTTATGATATCTTATGTCGAATTAAATGACGATTATGAACACTTCATCGTTGAATCGTAACTAATAAAGCAAACTCAATGATCAATATGACAGCAGAGCGGTTCAAATGAAGAAATCGCTCAAAGCTTCAACGGACAAACGATGCAGAATTGTTGAGCAAATTATCTTCACAATATTTTGGTTTGTTACAAATATTTTTTGCGAGTTATCCGTGCAGTATTCATTGGAAGGAAACGATGAAATGCGAATAATTTCAGTTAAATTCTCGAAAACATTTCTGCAAACATTAAGAAGTAATGTTCGGTGTGGTTTATGAGTTCCAGATGATAAATTCGTAATGATGAAGATCTGATTTATGGATCTGAAGAGTGCAGTTGAAGAGAGGTGCCTCAGGGAATGAAGCACCTTAAATGTGAAGGACCTTCTTCATCCGTAGCATTTTTTGAAACTTCAATGGATGAGCTTCTTGATTGCACCACATCACGTTCAGTTAGGAACTCTTGTACCAGTAACTGATCTACTGCGCTCAGTAACAAATTTCGATTCTGAGAAAGGATTGACTCATCGAAAACACACGACTCTTCCTTCAACCGTTCTGTTTCGCCAACACTTCGTTGCTGAGAATTTTTTACTACCCTTCGAATTCGCACACCGAAGAAATGAGTGCATCTTCGGTATTTCAGCAACGCATCCGAGTTGCACGTTCAACTAGGAGAAATCAGGCAAGCGGGTAATCCTGGTCAGATGCACTAAACAGTTCCACTGACTACGAGTCACCGAAGTGTAAACACTTTTCCAGTTCATTATTTCGGAAACTGAAAAGATCACGATTCAGTAACCTCGTTTTCGCCGATATTAAATTATTTATTTTCACTGTGGTCATTTGCCAGCGTGTAGCTTAATTGAAAGAGCAAAAATCAATTTGAGATCGCATAATCAATTTGAGATCGCATTTTTAATGACAAGTAAGGCGTTTATAATAATTACGAGTTTAATTACGAAGTAAACGCGATTTGAATATGCATCAGTGGTTACTGCTCGCTAGAACGATAATTAAATTCATTCTGCTGAGTCGAAGTAACGATCTCTGCGATTATTCAGTTGAAGCATGCGGACAAAAGTAATTTCAGCTATCCCATTCGAGGAGCAGCATAAAGAACTTCTCAGAATTAACAACAGCATTGAAAAACCGATAAAATAAATCTCATATCGCCTCGGCGTTTATAATTATCTGTTATACGGGAACAGCGCACGCAATATCGAGTGCGAAATGCTTTCTTCATAACGTGCTACATTTCAGTCAACAATAACACTTCATTATCAAGACGAATGCTCGAATGATCAATTATTCTACTGTATTTTGCAAAGTGTTGCGTTATACTACCCACTTCGTTCAGTATTTTCGTAAGGAATGTTCCTCCTTCGGGAAGTTCAACAATATCAACGAGAAATTAAGCGTTTGGCAAGTCAGTGCTGACTGATATTTGTGCGTAATTCTTGCATAACCGCTCGCTGATATTTCCAAAATGATGGTTTAATCACAAAAAGAGTGAATCCTTTGATACATATTTCAAAAAACTGTTGATTGCAGGTTTTCAATTGATCAGGCAAAAGCACTGTAAATTAATGTACGCATGGATGGTATTAAATTGACGAGAGTTGTTGCATGGCATAGATCCGCAAAAATGATTAACCGTCTTGTTTATAATAAGCGACAAATCGGTTGAAAGAACAGTTTTATCGATGAGAAAAATCACCTATAAAGCGGTATATCAGTTCATCAATAGAGCTATCCATTCTCACGAGAATTCGAGACGTATCTGTCACGAATGCGAAAGCCACAGAAAATAAACAATCCCTTCCGAGCGAACAATATTCCATTGGTTCTCGTATAAGAAAACATCACCGATAATAAGCTATCGGTTCATATCTTATATTCATCTGGTTAATATAGTATTCATATTCATTCAGTTGCGGTTTACGTTTTCGAGTTAATCGAAAACACAACTGAATTAATTAATTAATTAATTATTCAGAATACATTTATCAGTCAAATGAAAACAGCTTCTTCAATTTCATTAGTATACAACAATATTATTTCATTGGATGGATCACTGAATTAGATCATTATTACACACGGAATCACTTCTCTGTGACATGATATTACAATCAGCGGTTGTTATTGGATTAAGATCAAAAAGGTTAAACAAATGTTCAGAGATGTTCCATAAAATGACTTTTGAAAGGATTCGAAACCAAAATGAGGAGAAAAGTGAACGTAAGACACGCTCAAAACGCAATGATCAACGGCTACAAATTTTCCGAAACACATTTTTGTCATCTTCCAACGAACGCAATTTCAACGAGTAACGTTTCAACATCTCGAATGGCTTCAGCTCAGCCTACTCTCAGCTCTCCGTACCCTTCATACCCTTCATCAGCTCTCCGTCTCAGCCTACTCTGCAAGTGGAAAGACCGCTAATTAGATATCACTGATGCAGCTGATTCACTACACAATAGGAAGCATAATTATTTTTGACGTCGAGTGTGAAACATGCCCAATGAGAAACACCTCGAATGATCCATACTTATTATAGCTATTATAAGCGACATATCAATCTGGTAACGTTTTCTAAAGCAATGATTCTGCTCGAAACAATAGAACATTTGATTGAGATGGCTTTCTTCAGTTTTAGGCGATTCAATCCAAGAGTTGTGAGCAATATTCAATTAATGAACATTCCTCCTATATCTTGGCAAATGAAAGTGACAAAATGCATGAATGTTGACTACATTCAAGAGCAGAAAGCGTTTCATGAGCCATCAAAATGAATGGGCAAGTTCCAAAACAATAATGGGAGATGTTTAAAATAAATTGTCTGTCGCGATATATTTTATGGTTGTTTTTCGGAGGCGTTTAACTCGAATGAGTGCAGTTCGATAGACTCGACAGAAGTGCAACGCATAAAGAGAAATGTTAAGAAAGTGCAATTTAACTTGAACGTTACACATCATTAGACATCAATTACTTTTCATATCTGATGAAATCTGTTACCGACTGAAATCTATCACTGTTGACGAATCGAAAACGTATCACATACCATTCATAATCCATGCGGCCAAATAATGCTAAAAGATTCTTTAAAATCACTATCTATAAGCGAAATGTTTCCGTCTTCAATAGAGGCGGTGAGAGCTGTTGTTAGAGAATTTTTTTTGGCTTGGAACTGACTGACTGACATGTAACTGAATGTCATATTACTGGCACTTCTTTTTGTTATGTCCAAATCTCGATGGATTACATGTTCTAAGTCAGTCATGATTTCAGTTAAAATTTGCTTTCGACATTCCATTTGGTCACATTGAGACTTCATAGGTTACAGTTTCTCACTTCCAATAAAGCCTAAGCTCATGAACTCAAAAAGCTTAATTCATGCTCTCTACGTTCTCGTACTTTACAGAATTTGTTATCATTGACAAAATTTCCGACTGAATTTGATAATGGCTAAACATCAGAAGCTGTAAAAGGGGAAAATTACAAATGCGATCTCAACAGCTTCGAGATAGATCGCGCAAGGTAGACTCGACAAAAATAATTGTAATCAAGTGCAACAGTC